AACAACACCACCTTCAGACATACTCTCGGTTCTCTATCAAGGTTTCTGAAACAGAAACTCGCGTGTAAAGGAATCCGTAACGATAACTGATTATCATTTATACAGGGTTGGTGATGTTGTCTATAGCAGAGACTCACGTGTAAAGGAATCCGTAAGTAGCCCGGTTATTTTTATTCGCTTGATTGTGCCAGGAAATACCTAATATGTTCAAAGAGCAATAGAAAGGAAAACACTTTCCGGTGATCCATTACACGATAACTAAAATCTCCTTTCACGATAATTGCAGACCCGATTGTCTGACAAGAAAGTATTGGCGAGTAGTGCGACCATGAACGTAATAGACTTTAGACATAATACTTAGTCACGACTTTTAAATGTTACGTTTGAAAGATTTTCCACGTTACAGTCGCCGGTGGGATAAATAATGTGTCAATGTTTACAGCCACTGGCTGTTATTGAAGATAGGATTGAACCTCTGCCTCACCCACCAGAAGGTCCTGGTAGTGGACGAAAAGGATCCTCGGGATTTAATTTCATGGCAGACGGCCTGGTAATGAACATCCTGGAGAGGGATCGGATGAAATGTTGGCTTGCACGTTATAGAACCCATTAAGTTGGAATTTGAAACAGGGTAAGCAATATTTCCCTCGTAGAACAGTGCATGGCGAGTGACTGTCTTTATTATCCCGTTGGGACAAAAAAGGAGGACGTTAAACTCAATTTTGTTGGTGTAGATTGTAATCTGATTAAAACACAGATCCTATTTCGTTTCGTTTTTTATAGTTCAACATTTCGTTTTATAGATCTGTATTTTAATCGGATTGTGTAGATTATAACAAGGTAAATGAACAAAACAATAAAGGTGGCTGCCAACATCTATGGCTTTATAGTGACTATTTCAACTGGTTAACTATAACATATATACATCTATTTTACAGTATGTTTGACATATCGCTTGATAGAATAATCCTCTAGTGGCATTTAGTAACTGGATAGAATAATAAATTTAAAAATGTAAATGGAAGAATAAATACTAATTTATTTTGGCGACAATGTGTCTCTCAGCCTTTTCAATCAATCACAGTCACAATTGTATAGGTCAATAACACCAAATCAGAAACCATGTAGGACAACAGCAAGACCAAAGGCAAGATACGTGGCCAAAATAAATGGCAACGTGAAGTTGGCACGTTATTCGGGATTCGCCACTAAAACAGACCGACCTACCTTGCATCCGACCATTTCCTCGCTACCCCTGACTGTAGGGGCAAGGGTACGTTGGGTGACCGACTAACAAGGAAACCACCGTTTGTCGAGCGAATAAGGTGCTAACTGGTTTGTTAAAGTGCACGGGGCAGTCATCTCCAGCAATTACCTGTTGTATTCCCGAATCCCGAATAACGTGCTGGCTCGTTATTCGGGATTCGCCACTAAAACAGAACGACCTACGTTGCATCCGACCATTTCCTCTCTACCCCACGTGCGCGCTGTATCATTAAGCCTGTCATTGAGTCAACTGGCGTGGTTTCGAATCCCCGGTTGTACGTGGCAAGGAGTAGGGTCGCCGGGTCCTCCAGTTTCCTCCCACTGCTAAAGACCCCTACGCGCAAGCGAATTATTGAAATAAAATTAAAACTATATGTTAGTCTCGAAATGACCTAGTTTGTGTAGAGTGGACGTTAAACCCCAGTTTTAACACTTTTATCCCAGATCATGTTAACCCTGATAAAAAATATATCTAGCTAGTCATATTACATTGTTTATAAACCTGTCAATCAAAACTTCATAATGAATATATTTGTTTTATTATTATTCAGTTAAATTTTAAACAAGTATCTTATTTAATTTTAATGTTTTAATCTTATATTAAAGTAGCTAAGTCTCTAACTCAATATCATCCAAAATCTTCAACATTGAAAAGGCAACGTGAAGTTGGCACGTTATTCGGGATTCGCGATTTGCGAATCGGGATTTGCCAATAACGAATAACGAGCCAGCACGTTATTCGGGATTCGCCACTAAAAGAGACCGACCTACCTTGCATCCGACCATTTCCTCGCTACCCCCGACCGTAGGGGTAAATGAACGTTGGGTGACCGACTAACAAGGAGACGACCGTTTGTCGACCGAATAGGGTGTTGGCCGGTTTGTTGGCGTGCACTTTGCAGTCATCTCCAGCAATCACCTGTTGTATTGCCGAATCCCGAATCCCGAATAACATGCCAACTTCACGTTGCCTTTTCAATGTTGAAGATTTTGGATGATATTGAGTTAGAGACTTAGCTACTTTAATATAAGATTAAAACATTAAAATTAAATAAGATACTTGTTTAAAATTTAACTGAATAATAATAAAACAAATATATTCATTATGAAGTTTTGATTGACAGGTTTATAAACAATGTAATATGACTAGCTAGATATATTTTTTTTATCAGGGTTAACATGATCTGGGATAAAAGTGTTAAAACTGGATTTATAGTGGGCCTGTTGGGAGTAGGTTTATACATTTTAAGTATATCAGAAATAATAAGGAAACTGAATAGGGAATAAAATAAAGAATTAAAGGTGTCTCCGGATCTAGGGCGGAAGACAGAATCAAGAATTAAATTGTGCGCGATTAATTCATAATGACTGGCTTTCCGCTAAATCCGTTATTTCGATATATGTCTTTAATTTTAATACTCATTAGTCCAAGTCCACAATTATGCGTCGAGCCAAGTAAAAACTAAAATTGGTAGTTTATTGTTCGAATATAAGGTTAGATTTATGAGAATTTCTAAAATTGGTAGTTTGACTTTCGAATATAAGGTTAGATTTATGATGAGAATTTCTAAAATCAGGAAAAAATAAAGCTGTGTAAATCGCAAATAGCGTTTAGGGAGTAATAAAATAATAAAGGGTTAATAATAATAATACTTTATTACATATAGCATTAAGTTAAACAACTTATAGCTTTAAATTATACAATAATACAATCAAAATGAAAGATGTGTAATTAAAAAGAAAAAAACAAAAATAATAATAGTTATTCACAAACAATAAATACTATATATATAATAAAATTAACTTTCAAGTTTAGGAAGGTAATGATGTACGTTGAGCAAAAGCGAAATATATAAATTTAGCTGCAGATATAATAAGTTTTTGATCAGTTGACGACATCAAAAGACACATTTTTAGATATTTGGACTAGTATAATACTTAGATGGTAAATACAATTCTCTTAAGGCATTATATGCAGGACAAATTAACAAAAATGGTACTCGTCTTCCAACGTATTCATTGTACAATATTTACATAATCTCTCTTTCTATGCAGAGCTAATGCGATGAGCATCTAAATTTACTGAGGGCTACTCTAAACTTCAGTTTTAGGTCATCAATGCATAGATAAATTTAAATAGAGGTAAATCTGTGAACGAATTATATGTGCTTAACTTAGATGAAGCAAAACGTGAAGAATGGATTGGAAAGCGAGGATAAGTCTCGAATATACGGTGGCTGCATAATAAGGGACACGACAAATAATATCATTTATTTTCTTAAATATTCACCCAAGTCAATTTTAATTTCCACTCTAGCCATTTGTAATATAATTTGTTTCAGTTTTAATATAATTTGTTTTTTTTATAATTTTCACCCAAGTCAACTTTAATTCCCACCCAAGTCACTTTTAATATAATTTGTTTGATTAGTGTGGATAGGCCATTGAAATGAAATGAAATGAGGGTTTAACGTCCTACTCCGACTTGGCTAATGAATGTAGTATGCCAGAAGGGAAATTTTGCTCGGACAGCAAAATAAGTCATCTCTTATATGAAATCTCAACTGTCAAGAGTTATTTTAGATGCACGCTAATGTGTACTAGGGACCCAGGTTTGATATCTGGATGCACCCATCATAGCCAACGAACATCCAGACATCGAATTCAGCGGACAGTGTGTTGAAAAGAGATAACAAATAACAACTTCGCCTATCTACACTATTGAAACAAATAATATTAAAAATGACTTGGGTGGAAACTAAAATTGACTTCAGTGAAAATTATAAATAAAAAAATATATATTAAAATTGACATGGGTGAAAATTTTAAAAAATCAAATTATATTAAAATTGACTTGGGTGGAAATCATAAAAAAACAAATTATATTACAAATGAGTTGGGTGGGAATTAAAATTATTAAAAAAACAAAAAAAACCAACAAATCATATCAAAATTGTCTTAGGCGAAAATTATATAAAAAAAAAATTGCATGTCCCTTATCTGCCACGGTACGAATATACCAGTACCCTGGTTACCACGATGCACACATGTTGTCAAAACTACAAACAGTGATAACATGGCTCAGAATAAAGTAATTTGAATGGAATTTTCAATATTTTCATTTTACATTATCTATTTTTGAGCTATTATAGCAAGAATGGCCAGCTCTTTATCTCAATCTTACAGAATGTATCTTTAAGTAAGCAGATCTCTTTAACAAATAATCGAAAAGCATGAGCTGATCCCACAAAACATAATTATTGCTTAAATGTCCCTAAAACATAACATGACGTCATGAATTAGAAACAAAATATCATTATATATTCATTTAAGTAATTTCCAAACCAACATTACTCAGCCTATTATATTATACTCTAAATTTTAATGTAAATGAACAAGATAGATAAGACGAGTTGTGAACAATTAAGCTAGATCTGTACGAAGGCATAATTTAATCGGAATAAATTAATTTCCCAACCAGTGTGTAAAAATATTACACAAAAACAACTGGGCCCTGTTTTTAGAAATTTAAACTAAAGATAAAATCCAAGTTTTAGTAGATACTTCAATTTTGATTGGCTAAGCACTAAAATCAATCTAATATTATCCAATCAAATTACTAAAATTTGGATTTTATCTTAGTTAAAATTTCGTGAAACAGGCCCCTGATTTACACATTTTAGTTTTAGCTAGATTAGTATATAGACATACATAAAATTCATAATGATACTTACGTTTACCAAAATCTTCCCGGTTTATTTTGTATTGGTTGTAATATTCTTATTCCACACAGAACACGGCCGACACATTTTACCAGGACGTTGGTTTGTGATAACTAAATCTTTTTATTATACAAAAACAATTTTTGTCTTTTATTGTTTAGAACAGTGGACCAGCCCAACCCACCATTATACAAAAACACCAATGCTTCTTATTTAAATAGGGGATCACGTGGCTAAGTGGGTAAGACGCTAGCTCGCTAGCCTGGAGGTCGGGTGTTCGATCCCTGCATTGGCCGAGAAAGTTCATCCAGATTTTCCGGCGTGGTTCTCCCTTGTCAGTGATGCAGGACGGAGGGGCTGACAAGGAAAGCTGTCTAGTCGTTCGGATGGGACGAAAAACCGAGGTCCCGTGTACACATTGGCGTGCACGTAAAAGATCCCTTGGCAGTTGGAATTCGATATAAGAGTAGGCCGTAGCGCCGCTGCACGGGCAAAATTTCCCTCATAGCACACTGTATGGCGTATGCCCGTCTTCATTAGCCCAGGTTAGGAGCAGAAAAGTAGGACGTTAAACCCCATTTCATTTCATTTCATTTCATTTCTTATTTAAATAGGGCTGTCTAGGGAAGAATAATATAACATTCAGCCTATAGAATTTAGAGTCAAACTGAAGGCAATTAAATTATAAGTTTTATTAAAACGCATAATGGGTTTTATAACTTCTCCAATAACGTATTTCATTCCTTAGAATTCACAGTTTGAAAGTCAATATTCTAAAGGGTTCAATAAGCCATATAAATGCTACATACAGGCAATGTCAATATAATTCAATATGCGTTACCAAATAAATCCACCAGCAGTGTTAGCGTCACAATCAATGTCAACATATCTTGTAAAGAATGTTTTGAACAAAACTAAATCTATAAGAAATACTGTCCTGTATCACATTCACAAGTTTTGAGTCATGCCACAATGAACAGTATGAAACTATTCCATGGGTTGTTACTTGCATATAAAAGATATGATACTTACATTTTGATACGATTCCAATACATGCCTGGCAATTTATGTAGCTGTTTATAAATCAATTTGAGGATAATGGTTTTAAAGTTTGCCATGGGTCGCATTGAAACTTTTACACCACTAATATAAAGTTAAAACACGTATTTTAAATGTGTAACAAATACATTTCATTAGATAAAGCCATCTTTAAAACGAATAATACAGTAACCTTTTGATTTATTAAAATCCCTGACAAACTATTTTCCTTCAGATTTTTGTAAGTTTTGCTAACACATGTCTGTTATGTAAGATGCCACGGCAGAAAACCAATTACCTCATTATTAATGAAATGAAATGGGGTGTAACGCCCTATTGTCCTTTTCCGACTAGGCTAATAAAGACGGACATACGCCATACACTGTAAATTAATGCACCTTGTACACATAACACGTCATTGTCTGCGATATCACCTCGGTGGAAGCGGGCGTAAAATACAACTAACTCATCATCATCATACATTGTGCTATGAGGGAAATTTAGCCAACGTGGCACCCTCATTAAAATAAATATATTGGTTTCCTGTTTCATATAGTATAGAGTTGCAAGTATTGTGCCAAACATATTTATGTTGATAAGAATCTGATAATTCGAGATACAGCATTTAAATTATATATCTGTAACCTGTGTATTTTCATTAACATCTGTGATATTTGTTTTTATTTGTGGATATAAATATTTATTACGTGATATTGTTTTGTTGGCCTCGTTAGGATCAATCACCTTTTTTACACTATAAAACATCATTTTATTCATCGACTTGATTGGATGTTGAAATAACATTAAGGGCACTGACTAACATTTTATAAGTATCTATATTGCTATATGAACGAATTTTACTAATGTCACACAGACGGACATCACACGATTGAAATGGTTTTAAAATTTGAATACAATACACTTTCGTGTTCCGATGAGATATTTAATTTCTTATCATTACAATCTAGTTTATTGCGATCTTCGCAAGAAGGAACCTAACACAGATGATTGGGGATGCCAAATATAAGACAGATCGATTTTTAAGCACAAAGAAGGTGTTGGTTATTCGGGGCATAATGTTAAAATAATCATAGTCCACAAGACTTGGTCGTTAAAATATTAATAAAACGTTTAATCTGTTAACAAGCGGTTGTCATGCAAGCTACGCCCACAATTTGCAAGATTTTTTGTACAATCAGGGGGCATAATCCAGGAAGTTACGGTCCGATATGCGTGAATATCTACATGAACCGCGATCTTCGGGATATAAACATTTTGTTTAAGTTTCATAAAAATCGAGACTTCTAGAGGCTCCACAACCTTGGTATTACATACTTTTATACTATTGGCGTACGCGAAGCGGCCATTTTGTCATGTAGTTGCGATCCAATTTTCACGAAATTGGAACTTAACTGTCATTAGGGTCAAACGGTGACATATTTAAACGTTTTTAAAAATCAGATACGAAATTGTGACCTCTAGAGCGACCACAAGCTAAAAACGAGGATTTTTTGTACAACCAGGAGCCATAATCCAGGAAGTTGATGTCCGATATGCGCAAATATCGAAAGGCACCCAGATCTTTCAAGTTTCATGTAAATCAGATAAAAATTGTGACTTCTAGAGTATCCACATTTCAAGATTCGTCAAAATTGGATAAGAATTGTGACCTAGCTGTAGACAGTCCACAAACAAATTGTGGACGGACGGACAGGGGCGACGACAGTATACGTCCACATGAAAATGTGGGCGTATAAATATTCAATTTGATTTAATGTGCTAATTCCTGTTTAATTTGGTGAATTATTGTATGACACACAAGGATTGTTTATAGTGTTATTTGTTCTGTGGCTAATTTTACAACCCTAGCTAAGGTTTATTTGACATTAGGGGAGTTGGATGGCCGAATGGTTAGCGCGTGTGCGTTGTATCATAAGGTCTCTTATTGAGTCAACTGGCATGGTTTCGATTCCCCAGTTGTAGGTGACAAGGATTAGGGTCGCCTGTCCAGCCTCGTGAGTTTTCTCCGGGTCCTCCGGTTTCCTCTCACTGCTAAAATCCCCTACGCGCAAGCGAATTATTGAAATAAAATTGAACCATTTGTTAGTCCCGAAATGACCTTGTTTCTGTTGAGAGGACGTTAAACCCTCTTTCTTCCACTCTCTTATTTGGAATTCTATGCGCTATTGGCCAACATTCCATTGCAGACAAACAATAGGGATTTAAAAACCCAAGTGTTATGACAATGTTTCACTGTCAGCAAAGTAATGCTTGTTGTGACCCGTGTTTGTGAGATAAGGTTGGGTTTTTACTCTCGACGGTTTTATAGGGAATTGGGTCCATTGTATCTGATGGATTTTGAGTAATTAGCTAATTAAAATATTAATTAAAATCCTAGCGGCCACATGTTACGAGTATAAAGATCTTGGATGATTTTAATGCGTATAAGCCCTTTCGTTCCCGAGTTGTGCTCCCTGCATTTTACGCAAAATGTCAAATATGTGTGGACCCTCCAAACTACACAATTACTGTCAGCTACAAATGACATTTGACATGTAGTAGGCTGGTGGGAGAACTTCGGATTTACGTGAGCTGGGGTAAGAAAATCCGAAGCAAATGATTCTTGCTTTTCATGGAAGGTCTATGTGAGTACATCTTCAGGAAAATGTGCGTTCCGGTTTTCATGACCGTACGACTTACAAAATTCACCTTTGTGGAATTGTTTTCTAGAAATGTCACCTTTTTCGACATGCTGAGAATATTAACAAATGCTTTTCTGCTATTAGACCATCGACAAAATCAGTAAATTCCCATGTTGGAAAATTCTAATTGTAAAGGCGTCCATTACCGCCTCACCCCAAAAGCTTAGCAAGATCAGCGCATTTACTAATTGCATGAAATTTATTTGCATAATGTTCAGCATCGTCACCGGCATCAAAAGTGACAACTGTCAGATATTGTCAGTGGTGGGGTAAATGGCAGAAATGGAGTCTGCGCTCCCTGAAATGTATCGGCTAAATTCAAGATACCTTCGTTTATGCCAATTAGTACAAGGTCATTACAACCCACATATGTTCGATAACTCTAATGTTTCTTCTACTTTAAATAAGTTTCATCTTGTATCTCAGGATACGGTTAGAAGAGTAATTAAATCGTCTCCAAATCATGTACATTAGATCCTCTACCTACTTCTATTCTCAAAAGATGCTTAGGTGAAATTATTCATGTTATTGTTGATATTATCAATTCTAGTATTAATTCATGTGTTACTCCTGATATTTTTAAGTTAGCATATGTCTTTCCACTGATTAAAAAGCCGAATCTGAACCCCAATATCTTTAAAAATTATAGACCAGTTTCGACCCTTAGTTTCATTTCAAAATTACTTGCAAAATTAATTGCAATCCAACTAAAGAGCCATATAGAAGACAACTGCTTAGATGAAGCATTTCAAAGTGCATATAAGCAATTCCATTGTACTGAAACTGCCCTAACTAGGATATCCAATGATATACTTCTTGAATTAGAGGATAAGAAGTGTGTGTTTTTGCTTTTATTGGATCTATCTGCAGCATTTGACACTGTTGACCATTCTATTCTTCTTCATAGATTGCGTTTTAGATTTGGTATACAGATTGATGCATTGCAACTGTTAGAAAGTTATTTAGTGGGTAGGACACAATCTATTTTATTAGATGGCAAACTATCAAAAGAAACTGTTTTATTTTTGGTGTTCCACAAGGATCGGTTTTAGGCCCGATACTTTTTATATTATACTCATCACCAATTAGCAATATTGTTGATAAATATAACCTTCAATTTCACTTATATGCTGATGATACTCAACTCTATATACTTCTTTTAACCCCAAATATCCATCTTCTTTTAACCTATCTAAACAACAACTTGAAGATTGTATAAGTGAATTAAGACTATGGTTGTCTAAGAATTTTCTTAAATTAAATGACGATAAAACAGAATTTCTTATTTTGGGAACGACATATCAATTAAATAAATATGTACATTCTAACTTATCCATTGTTATAGGTGATTGTCCATTGTTATAGGTGATTGTGAGATTAACTCTACTGCTTTTAGTCGAAATATTGGTGTGATGTTTGATAATGTTATGACTATGAAAGCACAAGTTAATC